ATTCAATTATGCCATGCACCTGTCAACACTGGAAAACTCTCAATAGGAACTTCAGGAGGAACATGCCTCCCCTGAAATACTTTGAACCAGGCAGCTCATTGCAGGGGCACAATGGGAAAACAATGGATATTTTGTTTTGGTAACTCAGCTCTTGGTTGGATCATCTGAGGGGAATGGACATTAGACTCATAAACTTAAGACCACTTCCTTCTACTGCTTGAGTAGGCTTGCAGGCAGTACTAAGCTCATGAATTTCTATACATACCATTAAAGGAGTTCAAAGAGTTACACTGCATTGCATTTGCCTGGGTTACATTTTGAAAAGCAGAATCCAAATCCCCTTTAGTCAGGCAAGTTTGCTGCTATCAGTGCATCAGAAATTATATTCTTCCTGGTGCCATTCATTTTGTCGCCAGTCCATGGGAATGGGGAAGGTGGTACGAAGGTTGTTTATTCCTTCCATTAAGGAAGGAAAGGCATACATTGTTATGCTAGAAAATACAGTCTGGCCCATTCTGGGATATTGGCAAATCAGGCTCTGATAGCATAGAAACGGTTCCATGGTGGTAGATTGTGAGGCTGTTATACTGCTGAATGAATGATGAAAAAGAAGAGGACTTCTATCAATACAGAAGGACCCTGGAAATGAACAATGATGGGAAAAATGCAGAGAAAAGGCACAGCATGTCCCTAATAATGGCTTCTGGTAAACTGTTACATTATTTCAAACTTTACCTGAGTAACAGTCACTCTTAAACAGCAGAGGAACTGGTACCCAATAGTTCATCAGCACACCAAAAGCACTTCTAATGGTCCCTGGATGCTATTTTAGCTCTCCCCAGAGAACAGGGGCACCTAGCCAGCTTGTAGGAACATAATGCACAAGATAGCTTATGACAGTCAAAGCACCCACAGCATAATGCTTTTCATTTAGGGGACTTCTAGACAGAAGACTATTATATTGTTGGAGACTTATTACCCTCCTGGGTCTGTCATTTATATGCACAAGAAACCTGTCTTGTAGCTTATGACAAGTCACTCAGCGTACCATCCATCCAGCAAAAAGCAGAGTGGTCCAGTATTTAGTATGGAATCAGGAGACTGAGTTTTGTTTTAGCTTGCTCTGACAACTTGGGCAAATCACTGAACTTCAATGTACCAACTTTTAAAACAGGACTCAGATTTACCTGTTTTGCAGGGGTGCTCAATGTGTTATATCAATGGTTGCAATTATTAGTTGAGAAGGTGCTCTCCTAGTCCTAGCAAGCTTCATTTTAAGCCACTGGAATGGGACTTGGGAGACAAGGGTTCAAATCCTGGCTCTTCCACATATTCTCTGCATGGCCTGGCAAGTTAATTCCTCTGCATTTCAGTTTCTTGCTATACAATGAAGACAATGTTGCTCTACTAGTACTGTTGTACTACTACTTCTCAAGGTGCAGCCTGGCTAATGCTTGTGGGATACTCAGACGTGATGGTGATGGGAGCCAAAGAGAGAAGTGCCAAATGTTGCTTTTACAACAAAAACATTTTAAGATTTCTAAATCTTTTCAAGGAATGCTGCCAAAAGAAACTACACACTTCAAAATAATTGCTAATTGCTAATGACATGTAAGGCTGAAAAAACAGACCCAATGCTTAAAAGCAAATACATTTTTCCCCGTACTTATCCGAGGCTACATTGTGGTCTGGCCTGTTCAAGGGAACAAGGAGGTGCAAGTTGCCCACTGCTCTTTTAGGCTTGTTCCCCAAGTCATAGGCAGAAGTAGAGGAGGAACTGAAAACAAAGGAGGCCAGCTCCTTAGCTGGGATAAATAGGCACACGTGCCTATCTGGTATACTCTGTTTATTCCCACTAACTTAGGGTTTGGCCCACAGTTTACCTGGAAGAAGTGCAGATGCCTGGTTAATTTAGCTTTCAAGACATTTAAGTGAAGAATAAGAACCTCTAGTAGAGAGATCTGAATTCGTGATGTGTGTGATCCCATCCTGCTGAAAGACAGACATCACAGCCCAGAAACACTTGGTCAAGTGGCGTTACTCAGCTTCTGTTTCTCTTCGGCTGCAAGCAGATGTTGCCCTCGTGGCAACACAGGCAGTTTTATGGTGGGGCAAAATGCAAACTTATAGACATCATTGATGCTGGTCATGCCACAAATGTCCAAAAATGTTTGCACGACAATATTTGTTGACAATTTGTCCCAGTTTATCACGGCAGTTGTCCGTACAGTTATGGTGCATTGGCTGAATGCACTGCTGGAAGGTGGCAGTGGATCCTACATCCCTGGTACATGCGAGTCCCCAGACACTGACTGTACACTGATTGTTGGCCCCAGACCTGGTACACCAGTACTTTTAAAAACCATGTGTGTAGTTGTATATGTTGTTTTTAGATGTCCCTGGCACACAAAGACCCCAGTTCAGGGAGACATTTCCTGATCACGGGGACCCCAGGTTCTGGGAATGTCAGAAGCCTGCCTGTAGAGCCAGGCTGCACACAGGGTTTTTAAAAGTCCTGGTACAATGGGACTGGGCCAATAATCAGCTGCACATAGCAGGGGAAAAGACTTCTTCCAGAGTCAGGGACTTTAAACCCCATGCATGGCAGCTCTGGCCACACTGCCAGAGCACAGGAGATCGGAGGCCCACAGCAGAGTTTAAAGTCCCCAGGGGGGAAGCCCTTCAGCCCCTACCCCAGCAGGAAGCCTCTGATCTCCTGCATCCTGGCAGCCTGGCCAGAGCAGAGGGCCATGAGGTTTCGACAATCAACTGATTGCAGGACCAGTCTGGACAGCTCAAGTCTCCAGCTGAACTCAGGGCTGTCCCAGCTGGGGCTGACAATCAGCTGATTGTCAAAGTACCACAAAGGGGCTGTACTTTTAAAACCTGCTTTGAAAGATGATGTGTGGACATGCCAGTCTTCATTGCAGGACAAGTCATGGTACAACCCACGCTATGACAATTGTGATGTCTCTTTATAGCCTTAAGATAGTACTTTGTCTGATCACAGCAGATTTCCATGTGGGAAAGAGAAGTGTCCTGACTCAAGTTGTGCAAAAGGGTCATTTACACACCACCAGGACATCCTTCAATTTTTTTCTGTGCTGAATTCACTGCCCTTGAGTCGTACCTTGAGCTTTTAGTTAAAATCAATAACCCAGCAGGAAGCTCATTCAATATGAATTTTATATGGTATCAATTCAAACCAGTGCAAAATGCTTGCTTCCACACAACTTCAGTACTAAACCTTAAACCAGCCTCAATTTGCTCAAAGACGGGACAGGATTTGCTAAGGAGATTTATGAATCTCATAGCTCATTAGGATGGTAGCTTGAGTTTATGACAAAACATAGAAGTTTTGCATGCTTTCCAAGTTACATTAGAAATGCTTCCGTGGCTCTCAGTTGGATGCTTATTCAGCTATAATGCATAGGTGGCATTAACAATTACTTAATGCTTGCTTCATAGGGAGGGTTCTTGATTCAGAAGTAAATTATTAGGGGCATGATTTTAGTGCCCAGAAAAGTTATGCAGTGGGACACATCATAAGAGGTTCCTTTAACAGAAAAAAGCATGGCTTGGAGGAGTCATTAGTCAAGTTTGTCTCTTGGTGGCTATTATTTTCTGTTGTGTAAGTACAAAAATGACACATCACATTTGAACAATTCAGAAAACAAATCAGGAAAGAATTTTAGTACAGCATAGAAATGTTAAATTTCCTTTTTGACTTCAGTTAGAGTTGGGTGTCTCTTGCTCAAAGACTTTTCAAAGCCCCTTCTTCATCCAACCATTGCCTGGTCCCTCCTGTTCCAATTCAATATCTGGATTGTTCTTACTATATTTTTCCCTTTAATTTTCCTAAATACTTATCTCTTCTCCAAAGCCTGGAGGTAACTTGTCCTTCAGAGAGTTGGTTTTCTAATTAGATAGCAGGACTGTTATCCACTTAAGTATAAAGGCAAACAGTAGGGAAACAATGAATCTCCTAGTCCTAAAAACTGCCAAGGAAAAGGAATCAGAACTATTAGCAGCCTTAATGTGTCCACATTAGATCATGCAAGGCTCATCAAATCATTAGCTATTATATGAGTTAGTCTTAACTTCAGCAAATGTGATCTATTTTTACCATTGGGTATCAGAATTGATTCTGCTGAACCCAATTTAACCACAGCTACAGACAAAACCAAATCCTGCTCCAGAAAAAGGATTTTTTTTAAGTTTGGCTATCTCCGTTGTTACTATGAGATCCAGGCAAACAAGGTGATGGGCTTACTTAAGTGTAATGCTCACCTCACAGCCTTTGACACAGTGGATCAGCGAAGGGTGAGGGTACCATTTGAGCCCTGCTGTGCAGACAACACTCTGGAGAGAGAGAATGAACTTGGTTAAGACAAAGAAATCAGTGTACAGAAAGCCAGTGATCTGGCTTATATTCTGCCCCCCTCCTCCCCAACACACACACCATACCAATGAAGTTCAGTTCCTAACACTTCTTGTGTTCTCAGGGCCTGGCTGTCCTCCAACTATTTACAAGAAGTGTTGGACTTGACGCTTGCAATAACAGAATGTTTGAGATTAAAATAATATTTAAGGTTCTCCCCAAGTGTCATGTTCAATATTTCACTCGTGGCAGGGGAATGTGGCAAGCAGAAGCAAAGGCATTGTCCATAATCTGGCTGAGGGAAGTGGGGGAAACACTTAGGAATGCCTTCAGAAGGTTTCCTCGCTGCTGCAAGGCTCCAGGTTTCAGTGGCCGCCCATCCTATCCAGGAAGCAGGATGGGATTGCTGGGGTGAGAGCTGGCAGTGGCATGCAGCAGGTCGTCTGGGAGAAAAGAAGTCTTTTGGAACTTCGCAGAAAAGGGAAACCTTCATACAAACCTTTTGCACTGTCCAATGATCATATCCCCATCATAACCACTCAAATAACCCATACAAAGGCTATTTCATTTGATAAGTTTTAGAGCAATTTCAACAGAATATGATGGATTTTATCCTTATTAAATATCAGCTGACTTTTCCATAATGGAAACCTGGGAATGACTGACTAATTGTGGGCAAAATGCTGATAGTTCAGGGTCTGCAGAAGGGAGCTGGAAATCTTATAAGAACAAGTCTCATTCCAGCACAGTGGGTACCAACTTTTTTGACAGGTGTGCTACAAGTTTAGCCCCAGGCTCTCCTGAGTGCTACTCTGATCCCTTTTCCCCTGCCTGATCTACTGCTGCTCCTTGCACCCTCCCTGATCTTCTGCATGCTGTACAGAGAGGCTGTCTGTGGCACTTGTGAACAGGTCGGGTGGCCAGCCTGTTCTATACTAGAACAGTTTGACCACCCCTACCTATTCCAGTATAAAGGCACTCTCATTTTTAGATTCAGAGTAGTCACAGTTTGCGCTGGGAGGAATGGTGTTTTTTCATGCTCAGGCCAGTTGGGGATCATCCTGTTCTCCTTACAATAACATAAAGTAGATCTACTTAGCTGTACGAGGCATAGTGTAGTAAAAAGCCAGCTAGCTCTGAATATCCTAGCTCAGGTGCCAGATGCTGTCTACTTGCAGGAATACAGAGCTGTGCACTGGCTGATTTACCATATTAAGATAATTACTAGGATTGCTTGTAATGGGACATACAGTTTTTCACATCTATACCATTACTCTGAATCCAGTCCTTGCTCTTGGCTCCATTTGGGGAGGAGTCAAGTAAGAAGGCCTTGGTGTTCCCTAGCAAGCAGGGTAAATTAATCGGTGTGAAGAGCTACTGTGGCTGAACTGCTTCTGGTGCCCAGACTAGTTTGCACCAGGTCCACGAACAGCAGAAGCTGAACTGGCAGAAGTCTCCTACCAGCAGATTGGCTTGCACATAGACGTTTTTGCTGGCAGAGCTACATCAGCTGTAAAGTGTGATCATTATACACTCCTATATGACACCCACAAGAGCCCAGTGGACAGAAGGGACTGAGGTCCTTGTGCCACCTCTGGCTCCCCATCCTCCTTGCTTATCCACCAACCGCAGCACTCATTTCAGAGGGCCATTCTCCATTATCCAGGAGACAACAATCTGATTAAGATAATAGCAGTGATGAAACGGCCCGTTTATAAAGCGTGTCAAGAGACATTCGCCAAACGGCTGGGGCAGGGGGGTGGGATAGAAGTTTAGGAAAGAAGGGGATTAACATTCGGGAGGACCTGACGCACAAGACATCCTTTCCCCTGTTTATTTGATGGCTAATTTAATCCATCTGCCAGAGAACCTCAGCATGTTTTTACAGTTTCTGTCATTTGAGGCTTACCTGACGTGTGCGAGAAAAAGGACTTTTATACTATCTGCACTGGACTGTTTATCTTTCCAATGCTCTCGGATTTTCCACTATTAGTCAAGCCCAGCCAGCTCCACCTGCCTTGCAATAGGACCCGTCTGTGTGAGAGGGGAAGAGGCTAGGGGAAGCTGGCAGGGAAAGCGGGGAGGACAATGCTGCTTATCCCCTCAGGGAAGGAGATTGCAGGGTGCAGGGCCCATGCAGGGTCAAGTGTGTTCCCAATGAGTTCTTGACAGACATCTGGACATTTCAAGGCCAAGGTTGCTGCCTGCCACAAGTGTTAGGTGGTTCCCCTCCTTCTGTTTACTGCACTCAGGCTGAAAAAACGGGAGGCAAAGTTTTTAGGTTTCAATTTAAATAAATCCAGCCCACAGTCTTGGAGAGGGGAGATTAAAGGGAAGACTCCAGCTGCTTTTCAACCAGGGTTTAAACTGCAAAAGAGCTGGCAAAAAACATAGACCTTCCTCTTCCCCAAGCCCAGAGTCAGCCGCATAAGTGAATGTCTAAAGAGACATGGTGCCCTTTGAGAGTGGTACTAATATCTTGCTAGCCTTGCGTGTAAGATTTTAACGATGAGGAATGGAGCCAGGGTGACAGGCTGGAAAAGGCAGAATAATGTTTATCTACAGAACCAGGCAAACATTTGCAGCAGCAGGACAAACTGCCATCCCCTATTGACATGCTCAGCTCTTGAGGTGGAGAGGCCTTCCTGTAACCTGCTCAGTCCTTTGCCTCTGTTGAAACTGCTCACAAGACTGCAGATTAATACAAGACAGAACTGCCTCAAGAGCACCCAACTGAATGCACAGGACCACCTCAATGGATCCTACAGCCCAGGCTGGATGCAAACCCATGGCTTAGAGGTGAAAGACTATCTCATCATAAACAGTCTTAGCTGCAAGTCAACACAAGGGGAAAATTAAAACACATAAAAGATTTGATAGCTTCTGTAAAACACTGCTGGGAAAATGATGATGAGCCATGGGAGAACTCCACCTCAAGCCCTCAACACTGCAAAGGTTGTTGTCAAACTATGTTTGCCTAAACTTGGCAAGAAAGGAGTATGCCTAAAAATGTGAGCACCATTCAAACCCCCAAGTCAATGCACATTGCCATGCAGTGTTTTATTGGGTGAACTTCCATGATAGTGAATACTAATCCTAAAACACTACTCAAAACAGCAGATAAAAATGGGCTGATTAAGGGGTCAGCCTTTAAGTAATGTAAAAGGGGACTTGGGAGTTGGATCTTTGGAGAAGATGCTTAAGAGAGGATGTTACCAAGTCAGGTCAGTCCCTTGTAAAGAATTTATTGGTCACTTCTGCTGAGCTCATTGGTGCTAAAAGCAAGCAGTTGTTCAGCTTTGTCTGACCCCTCAGGATGTACCCAGGGGATAAAATTTCCTCTAGAGTAAGGGACAGCACAAAACGAATGCCCGCAATTAAATCCCACTTGAGAACTAATGCTTAAGTGCTTTATACAATTTCTTCTCATCCTCTGTGGCGAGAACTGCACCCATATTTCGGAGCCCTATGCGGTGCCTTTGCCTCAGTTATTCTTGTATTATAATTAATGAGGATGAAACCATGGCTCTTGGGCTGTGAGTGGAGAAGGATTTAGAGGATCCATATTCAGTGAGAATCTCAGGCAGGGAGCTCAAGTTGCTTGTTAATTTTGGGCAGTTGGATCATGTGCCTACCTACACCACTCCTCCTTCCCTGTCAGGAAGGGAGGCTTCAAAGGGGCCAAGGTGTGGGGATGAGCAAGCAGAGAGGGTCTGTGTCTCCCAGCTGAAATGTGTTTAGATCCTGGCCAGAAGCAATGGCAGTTTGTACGTGTTTTGGCCTCCAGTCCTTCTACACAAGGCCAGGTGCATCCAGAAACCAGTTGGTGCAGCAGCTTGTTCAAGGGTACATCTTGCATATAGCACAGCTCACCTGGGTTCTCTGATCTTCACTGACATGAATTCATTGCCACATACTAGTTATTGTATTAGGCTGTGTGTAGACGAAATGAGGGGCATGTATGCAGGACACTTTAAAGTGGGCTAAAAGCTTTTGTACCACTTTAAAGGTGTCAATGTTTGCACGTCTTGGTGGTGTACTATGCATTAATTCCAGCCACTGTAGGAAATTCAGTAGCGTAATGCAAAATGACTTGGGGGCACAGCAAACTAAAACGCCTCCAAGGAGTTTTAGTTTGCTACCCCTACAGCTGTGGAGCGAAGCATTGGGCTCCATGCAGCTCAGGGGCTCCACAGGAAGCCCTGCAGCAGCCCAGGAAGGCAGGCTCTGCCCAAGAAAAGCAGAGAGCCTGTTTGTTTCTTTTCTACCTCTCCCCCTGAAGCCTGCCAGCCTGCTTGAGCTGCACGAGGGCCTGGTGCTTCCTTCTGCAGCTGCGATGCCCCCCGGGGCAGCCCGAGCCAGGTGCCTGCCTGGGTAGGGGCTGCCACTGCTGTGGAGGGAAGCACGTGCCACCCCTGCAGCTCAGGGACCGCTCTGCCTGCTGGCAGCCCCCCCTCCCCCCCCCGCCGCTGGAGAGGCAGGTAAGTGAGGGCTGTGTGCACGACATGGGGGCTTTAAGGGCCCTAAATTGAAGCGGTGGGCCCTAAAACCCACTGCTTCAATTTAGGGCTCCCGTTTTGTCTACATGCACCCTTAGCTTTACAGACTTGGGGCCTTATGCCAGTTCAATGTCAGCTACTTTGGTGACCAGCTCTCTCCCAGGAAGATATCCTGGCGGCTGAACAAATTGGAACTGCTTAAACTACCACCTAATACTGCTGGTATTCAGGGACACAGAGGCAGGATAGTCCCAAAGATAGACCCTCAACTGTAGACTTGGCTTGCCTTGCTGATTTGCTAAAACCCAAATTCATAGTAAAAAGCCTTTGTTTCCTATGGCTTTCCATGGCAGGATGCAAAGGAATGACCTGGTGGGAAAGGGTTGGGGGAGAATTCTACTTGCATGGAAATTCATGAGGATTTGGTTTACTAGGCCCTGGTAATAACTGCTGTGGTTCTAATAAATACACAGGTGCCTGGGGCATTGCACACGCCTACTGAAATAATGCCGACCTTGTTTATCTGACTAAGATGCCACTAGTTTAGAGCAGACATGGAGGGCATTTACAAGGTCAACAAAAGGCATCATAAAAGGGGAAGGGGAAGATCACATTTAATACTCCCTGAACTAAGCAAGAAGAGAATCCCATCTGGCCTCTGGTTATATGAGAGCAAGTGTTCTCCATTCATTCCCAGGCACTGACACAAAGTCCAGTGACATACGACTCCCTGATGGGCCCCTCTTTTATCTGTTCCTACAACCCAGCTGCCCTTGGATTCAGGCCTTTTTGCATAGTTTTGTATGTTTACTTTGGTCTTGTCCCCATCCCATAAATGCCACCATTCGGTCCCATCTGTAATTCGGTGGCTGCCTACCCATCTTTTCTGAAGGGAGAGGGAACTGAGGTAGGGTCCCATAAGAAGTAAGAAGCAGACAAGAAAATGAATACAAGCGTCATTTTTCCCATGTTAGGCAAGACCCAGAGGACCTAGATCCTCACCCCAATCTGGTACCAATATAATGTCCTCAATGCACTGAGAAATTAGGAGTGGGGTTAGATGCCCCCAGGAGATGCTGTCTAAAGTTCTCCTCCTCATACAGTGGTTAGAGCTTAGAAAGGCTAAATTGCTGGGGCTTGTGTGCCCCCAACCAGTCCAAACCAGCACTGATCCAAAAGCATTAAGTAAAATATGATGATTAGCAAGAGGCTTCAGAGCTTAGTAGCATCCATAATTGCTCAGGGAAGGGAGAGGGAACCTCAAACTCAGCAGGAGACTTTTCTGGATTAGTGCCGGAGGGTCAAAATCCTGCATCTTAGATTGCCTGAGTTTAGGGTATGTGGGAGTTTCATACTACCCGCTTTGCTATGGTATCCAAAGATGTATACAGAGCATGCCATGATGCCCTTGAGCCCTCTCTTACCAGATTTCTGGCAGTACTGGGTGCACCTCCCAGACCCTCTGGCACTTGCCATATATGAATATACTCCTCCAGCAGCTAGGCTGGCATTTTGCATGGCCTCATCCTGCACACTCCCAATCTCTCCAAACTTGAATTGTGGCAAAAGTTTCAGCTCAAAGATTTTCCCACTCCAAAAAAAAAAGCAGAATTGGGTGAACTAAAATATGCCACAGACTTGAAAATGTTTTGTTGAAACATTTTCTGAATTAAACATTTAGATTTTTTTAATTTGAAATGACATTGAATTTCTAAGTTTGATTCCATTTGAAATAAAAATAAATCTATATCTTTGAAAATGAAATGGAATATTTTGTTTTAGGTTAAATAAAAGGTGATGTTCATTTGAAAACTATATACATTTTAACCCTTCAGTTCCTCCAAAAATTTCTAAAAATTTTTGCCAGAGGTGGGCACAAAACTTTGAGAAATGGTAGAATTTCAAGTGAACCAAACAATCACATTATTTGCAAAGCTCAACTCAGCAATTCCCACAGGAAAGATGACCCTTCCCAATGCACATTTCCAATACAGATGTTATTTAAAAGGCACAGAAGAACATTTTTGTTTTTGGCTCTCCCAAAGTCTTATGTGTATCTGCCTTTTACAAGGCAAATTCCTGGATGGGGCTGCCTCTGTCTGTGCCCTTACAATGCTGTACATTATTAACATTTAACAATAAGGCATAACAACAGTCCCTTATGATGGGAGAGTGCTCAGAAATCTCAGGCAAAAGCTAATCTTGTAAATGCTAAAGCTCAGATACTGCTTTTGGGCAACAACGTTGAGATCAGTAGGGTGGCAGACTCACTAAGGGCAGAAATTGGCCTGGCACATTAACATCAATGTAAGCAGCTTGCAGCGGGGATTTGTTGCTTAGACACTTCTGGCTTCTCTGTCCCTTCTAGGTCTCCCTGAGTGCTCTAGCACAGACTATATCATCAATAGTAGATGGGGATTGGAGGGGTTAACATGGTTTTTTTTCCCTCCAGATTTTGGAACTGACTGGAAATCATGAAGTGTTGCCATAGATTGGCTCCAATGGCTAGCACTAGCATTTCCAAGTCATCCAAGTTAAGCCCATCCGAGCCTTAGCGCCATACCCCGCAAAAGCAGTGGGGGCCAACCTTTTTGTAGTAGCCCTGAACCTTCCCCAAGTGCCACTCTTATCCTCTTCCTCTGCCCAGACTGCTTTCTGCTCCTTACTCTGTGCCACCTGCATTATTGTCTCCTCCACTTTTTGTGCCCTGCCCTGTGTTTCTTGCCTAATCTCCTGCTCTGCTTTCCGCTTCTTGACCTAACTGCTGCTGTGCTGCCTGTCCCCTCCAAGTCCTGCCATCTACCACACACAGAGGCTACCCATGCCACTTGTGGCACTTGTACCATGGGTTGGCCACTGCCTTAAGGGATGATACGGACACTGACACTACTCGACAAGATGCGAAGACGTTTCCTAGTTGATCTAAGTAGAATCTGCACCAAACAAATGCTCTGTCTCAGCACTTGCAAAAGAGGTAGGTTTATTCATGCTCTGGAGTGGTATAATAGTTGTTTTGCACCCATAGTGCCTGACTTCACCTTCTAACACAGGTATAGAAGCGAAGACCCCCACCTTTTAATCGGCTATATATAAACAAAGCATTTGGGGGTCGAGACCCCAGATGTTCACAATCTAAAGCCCTTGCAAGATCACTGATGTAGGGACAAAATGGACTCATACTTAACCACTGTGTTCCTGGAAGCTATCAATTCTCCTCTATACCTCACTCCCCTCCTTCTCCCCCTTTCCTACCATATTTTTCCCTGCTGCCTAATGAGCCCTCCAGAGACCCACAGGCATAAAACTCGTTACAGCTCCCTCTGAGTACCAGCATCAATAAATGAGGGCAGCACAGCAAAGAATGGGAGGGAAGCTGTAGTTTTATTTCACCATGAATTACAAAACCACTTTAAAGTCCAGAGCGGAGGAAAGAAACAGTGAGAAATTGCCCCTAATACAGAGATAAGGGGTTTTTTATGCTCCACACCAGTAAAACCTAAGCTTGGCCAGTAATATAATCACAGTGTCGGAGGTACTCAGAGAGATAGTTTGATTGTTACACCCTCTGGATACTTACTTCCCAGCCCCCTCCTAGGAATTTTTCTGTTCCTCCTTACGCCAGTGTTACAGCACAGCCAGGATTTTCAGAAGGGCTTAGCACGCACAGTCAAGTTCAGCACACATTTAGGCAACTAAATAAGTCAATGGGTTGTCAAAAGTGTTCAGTTCATTGGGCACATGTTAGCTGCTTGGTTCTTTTCTTAGGGAAA